AAATAATTCTACAAAAATAAGTCGTACACAAAATAATCCTACAAAAATAAGTCGTACACAAAGTAATTCTACAAAAATAAGTCGTACACAAAATAATCCTACAAAAATAAGTCGTACACAAAATAATTCTACAAAAATAAGTCGTACACAAAATAATTCTACAAAAATAAGTCGTACACAAAATAATTCTCCAAAAATAAGTCGTACACAAAATAATTCTACAAAAATAAGTCGTACACAAAATAATTCTACAAAAATAAATCGTACACAAAATAATTCTACAAAAATAAGTCGTACACAAAATAATTCTACAAAAATAAGTCGTACACAAAATAATTCTACAAAAATAAGTCGTACACAAAATAATTCTACAAAAAATAAGTCGTACACAAATAATTCTACAAAAATAAGTCGTACAAAAATAATTCTACAAAAATAAGTCGTACACAAAATAATCTACAAAATAAGTCGTACACAAAGTAATTCTACAAAAAAAAGTCGTACACAAAATAATTCTACAAAAATAAGTCGTACACAAAATAATCCTACAAAAATAAGTCGTACACAAAGTAATTCTACAAAAATAAGTCATACACAAAATAATTCTACAAAAATAAGTCGTACACAAAATAATCCTACAAAAATAAATCGTACACAAAGTAATCCTACAAAAATAAGTCGTACACAAAATAATTCTACAAAAACTAAGTCGTACACAAAATAATTCTACAAAAATAAGTCGTACACAAAGTAATTCTACAAAAATAAGTCGTACACAAAATAATTCTACAAAAATAAGTCGTACACAAAATAATTCTACAAAAATAAATCGTACACAAAATAATTCTACAAAATAAGAAATACATTAAAATCACAAAACAAACAAATCAAAACATAAAACTAAATGCGAGAGAAGAATGAGAGATGAAAACCTTTCAGTCAGTTTTGAGTCTGGATTTAAACAGAGTCAGAGTCAAGTCTGTTTCACAACCAGGACTGAACCAGAACTAAACAGGATTAAATTAAACAAGACTAAACCAGGACTAAACCAGGACTAAACCAGGATTAAACCAGGACAAATCCAGGACTAAACCAGGACTAAACCAGGATTGAACCAGGACTAAACCAAAACTTATCCAGGACTAAACAGGATTAAATTAAACAAGACTAAACCAGGACTAAACCAGGACTAAACCAGGACTAAACCAGGATTAAACCAGGATTGAACCAGGACTAAACCAAAACTTATCCAGGACTAAACAGGATTAAATTAAACAGGACTAAACCAGGACTAAACCAAAACTAAACCAGGACTAAACCAGCACTGAACCAGGACTAAACCAGGATTAAATTAAACAGGACTAAACCAGGACTAAACCAGGATTGAACCAAGACTGAACCAGGACTCAACCAGGACTAACCCAGGTCAAACAAATACCTGGATAAGTCTCTCCAAATCTAATTTAGACAGTAAACTTTAGATTTTTTCAGGGTTTTTTTTAGCTGATAAAAATTTGCACTATTTATGATCTTCATTTAAATAGGGCCCAGGAGAGATCGCTAGATTACTCAAACATGCATGGACGATCTAAAACCTCTCCAGACACAATGTTATAACATGTTAGAAACCTAAAAAAAAATCAATCAATCAATCAATCAATATCCCTTCTTTAAGCTTTTTTCGGCTTTTATAACCTACGATTTTTTTCCATCGTTTTTTTTTTTTTTACAAAGATTTAAAAATAATCGTTTGTGGCTCGTTACCGCTTGTCGAACGATGATGCTCTTGTAAACCTCGGACGTGTCCTTCTGAGTTTCGTTACAGATTTTGTCCACATGAGTCAGGAGGACGACCTGATGAACACCTTTAAAAACACGACAACAAATATGTCAGGAAAATGATAAAATAATAACAGGTTAAAATTAAAAGACTGAACCAAGACTAAACCAGGACTAAACCAGGACTAAACCAGGAATAAACCAGGAATAAACCAGGACTAAACCAGGACTAAACCAGAACTGAACCAAGACTGGACCAGGACTGGACCAGGACTGGACCAGGTCTAAACGAAGACTACACCAGAACTGGACAAGGACTAAACCAAGACTACACCAGGACTACACCAGAACTGGACCAGGACTAAACCAGGACCTAACCAGGACTAAACCAGGACTGGACCAGGACTAAACCAAGACTACACCAGAACTGGGCCAGATCTAAACCAGGACTAAACCAGGACTGAACCAAGACTGGACCAGGACGGGACCAGGACTAAACCAAGACTACACCAGGACTACACCAGAACTGGACCAGGTCTAAACCAGGTCTAAACCAGGACTAAACCAGGACTAAACTAGGTCTAAACCAGGTCTAAACTAGGTCTAAACCAGGACTAAACCAAGACTAATTCAGGTCTAAACCAGGACTAATTCAGGTCTAAACCAGGACTGAACCACGACTGAACCAGGACTGGACCAGGTCTAAACCAGGATTAAACCAGGATTAAACCAGGACTAAACCAGGTCTAAACCAGGTCTAAACCAGGTCTAAACCAGGACTAAACCAGGACTGAACCAAGACTGGACCAGGACTGGACCAGGACTGGACCAGGTCTAAACCAAGACTACACCAGAACTGGACCAGGACTAAACCAAGACTACACCAGAACTGGACCAGGACTAAACCAAGACTACACCAGGACTACACCAGAACTGGACCAGGACTAAACCAGGACATAACCAGGACTAAACCAGGACTGGACCAGGACTAAACCAAGACTACACCAGGACTACACCAGAACTGGACCAGGACTAAACCAGGACATAACCAGGACTAAACCAGGACTGGACCAGGACTAAACCAAGACTACACCAGAACTGGGCCAGATCTAAACCAGGACTAAACCAGGACTGAACCAAGACTGGACCAGGACGGGACCAGGACTAAACCAAGACTACACCAGGACTACACCAGAACTGGACCAGGTCTAAACCAGGTCTAAACCAGGACTAAACCAGGACTAAACTAGGTCTAAACCAGGTCTAAACTAGGTCTAAACCAGGACTAAACCAGGACTAAACCAGGACTAAACCAAGACTAATTCAGGTCTAAACCAGGACTAATTCAGGTCTAAACCAGGACTGAACCACGACTGAACCAGGACTGGACCAGGTCTAAACCAGGATTAAACCAGGATTAAACCAGGACTAAACCAGGTCTAAACCAGGTCTAAACCAGGACTAAACCAGGACTGAACCAAGACTGGACCAGGACTGGACCAGGACTGGACCAGGTCTAAACCAAGACTACACCAGAACTGGACCAGGACTAAACCAAGACTACACCAGAACTGGACCAGGACTAAACCAAGACTACACCAGGACTACACCAGAACTGGACCAGGACTAAACCAGGACCTAACCAGGACTAAACCAGGACTGGACCAGGACTAAACCAAGACTACACCAGAACTGGGCCAGATCTAAACCAGGACTAAACCAGGACTGAACCAAGACTGGACCAGAGTGGGACCAGGACTAAACCAAGACTACACCAGGACTACACCAGAACTGGACCAGGTCTAAACCAGGACTAAACCAGGACTAAACTAGGTCTAAACCAGGTCTAAACTAGGTCTAAACCAGGACTAAACCAGGACTAAACTAGGTCTAAACCAGGTTTAAACTAGGTCTAAACCAGGACTAAACCAGGACTAAACTAGGTCTAAACCAGGTCTAAACTAGGTCTAAACCAGGACTAAACCAGGACTACACCAGGACGCCCTGAATAATTCAAGTATTTTCCTCCAGTGCGTTTTCTGATCTGACCAGACTTTAGGAGTTGAAGAGGAGGAGTCAGTGTGGAGCAGGACTCACCCAGGTCGGTGATGAAGCTCCTCAGCTGCTGGAGGAAGACTCTGGTGCTGTCGGAGCAGGTGGAGACTTTGGAGGCGTCCAGGACAAAAGCCACACAGTGCATGTGCTCCCTCAGGCCCGGGCGCTTTATGTAGCCCTCTGTGTCTGAGCACAGAGCCTGATCCACTCGGAACTGCACACACAACAGCAGCACATGAGACCAGCACGATTCTACAGCTCCTCTAAAGCTTTTACAGAGTATCACACGTTAACCTTCTACTTACCCACCCTGCAAAAAAGCTCTGGCAAAATTTAAGATCTAAACCAGGGGTGCTCACACTTTTTCCGCATGCGAGCTACTTACAAAATGATCTACCTAATACAAAGCCAAGCAAACTGCACTGAAACACTCTGTGCCCCTTTTTTGGACCCTCACCCACAGTTTGAGAACCTCTTCTTTAAGAGAACTTCCTCTGGCACTTTACACAAAACTGTGAAAAAAGTGAAGGAAGATTTTTAAACCTGTTTTTTAAAGTTTCAAACTGGAGTTGCATTCTTTTCTGGTTTTGCAGTGATATTTACCAGCCTCTGCACGTTTA